CTTGAAAACACCATTGCACTTAAAAAACTCAAACTTCGTAAATCATTAGTTATTACTAGGTCAGATAAAGGTGCTAACACAGTCATATTGAATCAGGATAGTTACGTTTCAAAGATGCACAATTTACTTAGCGATGACTCCACTTTCTTACCCATCACAGACCGAATCAGCCTCTCCGTAGTTAAAGATTTCAGAACCTCACTTCTCCGACTCAAGAAATCTAAAAACATCTCACCAGAAGAATACACCTCGTTTACCTCAAACCTCCACAGTTCAGCCTATATTTACGGCCTCCCCAAAATACATAAGCCTGAAGTACCCCTCCGCCCCATCATAGCCTATCACTCATCGCCCGCTTACCCTCTGGCTAAATATCTTTCCAACTTCCTCTCCCCTTTATTAACCAATTACAATAATACCCTTTCTATTAACAGCACCCCACACTTCATTAATGAATTAACAGCTCTTAAACCAGACCCCGCCTACACTATGTGTTCCTTCGACGTCACCTCCCTCTACCTCTGTCTTCCTCATGAGCTCATCATAGATGGCTTGACTGATTTCCTTCAATCGCAAAATGTCGATACCCATACTTCCTCAACCATAGTCCAACTTACCAAAACATGCTTAAGCATGAACACATTCACATTCCTACAGCACCATTACAGACAGTTCAGAGGCTCCCCAATGGGCAGCCCTCTATCTACCATCATTGCCGAAATAGTCATGACTAGAATAGATAATTGGATCACCCATACCCTCCCTACAGATATCCAATTCTGGCGCAGATACATTGATGATGTCTTTTGTATATGCAAAAAAGGTCAGGAGAGCTTCATACTATCAACCCTTAATAATTACAACCAAGATATTTCCTTTACCCTAGAAACTGAAGCTAACCATGTTCTCCCATTCTTAGATATCTTAATTATTCGCACCCCATCCTCATTTCACACGACAGTTTATCATAAAAAACAATGCCCCCCCTGCTACACTCATTACAATTCTCATTGCCCCACCTCCCATAAAATCAATATTGTTAGAACTCTTACAAAAAGAATTTCCACCCATTGTTCCATAGACATCTTTAAAATAATAGAAAGAAATCGCATTATAACCCAGCTCTCCGCAGCTTCCTTTCCACTCTGGTTCATTAACAAATATACTTATACACCTGCAACTTCCAATCCTTCCATGACATACAGATCATTGTGTTTTCTCCCTTACTCCCCCTCCTCTGTTGCTATAGCTAGAAAACTCAAATCCTATGGCATCCGTACCATATATAAAAACTCCCCGAACCTTCTTTCATCCCTCCGTCACCCTCATACTAAGTCCTCAGCTCCCCCTGCCCCCCTTCGTTCTGTGGGTGCAGTCTACTCCGTCTCATGCGAACAGTGCCCTGCCACTTACGTTGGTGAGACGGGTAGATCTGTATCCATCAGGATGACTGAACATTCCGCAATATTTCCCGTCAAGATACCAAGTCCCTTATTTATCAACATATGCAGACCACAGGCCACACTTTCAACATCAACAACCCCACCATACATTACAGCCACATACATATCTTGCACCAAAGACTCATTTTAGAATCAATAGTATCCCACAAACTAAACAGCATCAATAGAAAAATAGAACTTCCTGAAGCCTATCATCCTCTCCTGTCCTTTATTTAAACTTCCCCCTTGTATTTAGCTGTGAAAGGTCGCCCTCCCTGACGCATAGTGAGCTCTCCTGGCCTTTATGTGTGGATCTCTCTTTTGTATACTGGATATTCCATTGCAGCCATATACTGTGCCTCACTGATATTTCTTCCCATCAGCTGATGTTTTGGCATCTCTTCTATTACCCTAAAGGATTTTTATTTCATCTTTATTTTTATTTTTACTTCTCACTTTTTTACAAATAGTTAAATTGTTCATTTGCATGCTTTTTTCTATATTTATGTAAATTAATATGTGTATATATTCGCTACAGCCATCGATATCGCTCACAGTGTCGTTATATCTTGCCCGTCGAAGGGATTTTTCCCGAAAGCTCGCTCTTATGCACCAATAAAGATACTCGTCTTCCTTCGCCTTGTTATTATCGTATAAGTAGAAAAGGTTATTTATTGTAAAAGATTCATACTCGTCAAAAGGAGTTTACATTTCTTTAGAACGTTTATATCGCAGAAAAAGACCTGTGTTACACTCTGGGTGTAAATTCGAAACTATTATAGAGACCCGTATGATTCTTTTTTAAAATAATCAATTTCTACTGTCCTTACTGCAATGGAAAAATTAATAGGAGGGCCTGGCTTATCAGTGGTGAACCCTCCCAGTGGTTTCGCAAGTTTTACTGTTTAACACTCTGGGTGTATAAATGCCATTCAGGCAGAGTGAATTCTTAGCTTGTATTTGAACGAATCTTCAATCGACAGCCAAGTCAACCAAACCTCGACTGTCCTTACTGCCTTCATCTTAGTAAGAACAGTAGAAGTTTGTTTTATTTAAAAATAAACATTCGTGCTTCAATATTTTCTTGTGGTGGTGTCGTCTTGTCCATGGAAAGGTTGCTCCATGGAAAGGTGAGGTGCCATTGCCCCGTTAGTCAGCCACATTTCATAGTTCCCTCTTCACAGTTACCGTTGCGGCTCACGACACCGTACTACATGGCAGTCCCTTACTTGTTTTGCTCTATGGAATGGGGGTGCCATTGCCCCGTTAGTCAGCCACATTTCAGAGTTCCCTGTTCACAGTTACCGTAGCGGCTCACGACACCGTACTACAGGGCAGTCCCTTACTTGTGCTGCTTCTCGCCACGTAGAGGAGGGGTGCCATTGCCCCGTTAGTCAGCCACATTTCAGAGTTCCCTGTTCACAGTTACCGTAGCGGCTCACGACACCGTACTACAGGGCAGTCCCTTACTTGTGCTGCTTCTCGCCACGTAGAGGAGGGGTGCCATTGCCCCGTTAGTCAGCCACATTTCAGAGTTCCCTGTTCACAGTTACCGTAGCGGCTCACGACACCGTACTACATGGCAGTCCCTTACTTGTGTTGCTCTATGGAATGGGGGTGCCATTGCCCCGTTAGTCAGCCACATTTCAGAGTTCCCTGTTCACAGTTACCGTAGCGGCTCACGACACTGTACTACAGGGCAGTCCCTTACTTGTGCTGCTTCTCCCCACGTAGAGGAGAGGTGCCATTGCCCCGTTAGTCAGCCACATTTCAGAGTTCCCTGTTCACGGTTACCGTAGCGGCTCACGACACCGTACTACAGGGCAGTCCCTTACTTGTGCTGCTTCTCCCCACGTAGAGGAGAACTTCTGGGCAGGATTATCTTATCTATAAGATGCTACTGAAGCGTAGTTACATCTGTCGAAGGGCAGTTGAACCCTAAAACTTGTATTGCCGTTATATATAAACTCTTCCCTCAGCGTCTTTTATTTATAATGAACATTTCCACGTGATGATCAGCGACATTCTGTGAGGTAAATGGATTCTCGAAACATTCCATTAAGTCTTGCACCTCTATGAATCTTTTCATCTATATTCATTTTTTAAAATGACATTGTTTAGGGGGGTCTCGGTGGAAGGGTGGTTAAACCGTTTGGTTTTCGACCACTACGACCCGGGTTCGATTCCCGCATTGGACACTTTTTTCTGTTTAAAAAAATAATGCTCCAATGGCCCCCGATTCTTGCAAAAGTCCAACCCCACCAGCGAGTGCAAGTAACCAAACGGGGCTCTGGCACATTTTTAAGTGCAAAGTCGAACTGCTTTTCACATGTGTAGACATGTGATGCGCTTACAGTAAAAGCAGTCGCTAACTACCCACCATGATTATCATGGCTTTGAGATAAGAAAGAAGAAGAAGGTTGCTCTTGCTGAGCGGTACCTATTAATGTGATTTTTTGAACCGATGAACCGTGAACAGCGTCCATGTTGTTTTACACACACACATACACGCAAAAATTCACACTCATGCACACAAATACACACACATGCGCACAAATACACACACATGCGCACAAAAAGGATATAAAATAATATTTAAAATATGAGATAAAATTATTATATATGATTGAATATAACACCAAAATACAATGTAAAAGTGTCCTGAAAATTGAAAATGTACTTGAATTTCGTGATTATAAAGTTATTAGCATCAAAATAAATATATAAAATTGACGTTTTGAAGAATACCAATTATTTCTGAAAGAATTCTTCCAATTGATATTTGAATAACAAATTATTTGAGTTAAAATATGTTTATCTGTTCATATGCTACACAAATACACACACATAAACACATCTAAAGAGACAAGGGTCGCCTCTCCCGTCAAAACAGACACCTAAAACCAGACGCCATCCACTGACCGTCACCGACCCGAGTCCTCTAGTTGCGGCGACGGTCAGTGGATGGCGTCTGGTTTTAGGTGTCTGTTTTGACGGGAGAGGCGACCCTTGTCTCTTTAGATCAATTTCCTCCCGGCAAGATGTCCATCTACATAAACACATATACACACAAAGACTTTATTAAGACACCAATCTTATACAGATTCTACTCTCTCATTGCCAGCTTCCAACGATATCCTCACGATGATCAAGCACCATCATGTAGTGGAAGACTAATCAAATTGTATGCAAATACTTTGAAACATTACCAAATTCTCGTGTTTGTGTATATACTCAATCTCATGAGAACTTTGTTAAGTTTAGAACTATTTGTACAATAATTTACAAAACACTACTAATCCATCGTGTAAATAATTAATCATATATATGTTTTTTTTGCTTATCCCTAGTACACGTGGTACAGGCCATGATAATCATGGTGGGTAGTTAGCGACTGCTTTTACTGTAAGCGCACCACATGTCTACACATGTGAAAAGCAGTTCGACTTTGCACTTACAAATGCCAGAGCCCCGTTTGGTTACTTGCACTCGCTGGTGGGGTTGGACTTTTGCAAGAATCGGGGGCCATTGGAGCATTTTTTTTTCAACAGAAAAAAGTGCCCAATGCGGGAATCGAACCCGGGTCCTAGTGGTCGAAAACCAAACGGTTTACCTTAGCACAGCACAATAGTCCTTTGGACTTCGTGCTTTTGTAACAATAAATAAAAAATAAATTGTAGTGGAGGAGAAAATTTCAAATTCTTTTTTATACTTACTGCTTTGTGAAAGTTGTAAAATGACAGAATGTTGTTTTATACCAAAGGTTACATTGCCAAGCAACATGAATAACCCATATATTGTTGTTTAGAAAACTCTCAACTCTCAGAAAGTCATTGCACTCATTCAAACTTTATCTAAATCTTTACAGCCGATCCTAGCAGATTTATCTCCGCTATAAAAGAGTGTTATAAACGGCCAAATATAATTTAGATGGAAATTCTCCATGTAAACCCTCAATAACAAAAGGTTCTGTGGGGGAAAACTTAGAAACCAGAGGTTCTTAACATCCAGCGTTCATGTTAAACCCGACTTTGGCGACAATGCACTGATAGTATCTAAATTTATACAATAATATGTATGTAGGTTGGGATTTTATGGAAGAAGGTTGAGATATTGAGATTAAAACTACACTTATCCCTCGATTTACACGGTACTTTTTTATACGTTTTCGCTTTTACACGGTTTTCCAAATAAGTTTTTTTTTTTGTTGTTTTTATCGCACTATACTAAATACTCCTGTGATTGAACACATGCGCTGTGTACACATCTCACGAGGAATCCCGAGCTTATGTGCTGACTTTATATTTTAACCTGTCAATGCATTTTATTTTTATTTCTGTGTACACCTATCCCCCGATTTACACGTTTTTCTCAGGGACGTTTCTACCGTGTAAATCGGGGGATAGGTGTACTTTATTTCAAAGTACATATAAACAAGGTTGAATATAAGGTTAAATATAATACAATATAATACGGCTTATGATTGTAGAACGAAGTTTAAAAATTATACCGCAAATGTTTATTTTGAACGAAAAATCAAAATTTATTCAAGGAGAAAAAAACGACTATTTCCAACCTTAGGGATGAAGTATGAAAGGATGAATTGTGAAGTGTAATGATAAACGGGAAAATAAAGTGTCCAGGGATGGGAATAATAGAGAGTAATTTTAAATATATATATATAAAATAAACATAGAGAATTTACCATATATATGTATTTAATAGCTTTTTTTCTACTTTGCATCTTTTTCTTTGCACGCTGTTATACAAATTACCTCTGCTATATATATTTGAGAAGCTCTTGCCATTGGTATCCATCTTGCTATGTGATAGCCACCTGTAGAAGGGTTTTTACCCGAAAGCTTGTGCTCGTTTTTAAATAAAAGACACCCATCTTCCTTATCGCCTGGTTCATTTCAAAATAATATTGAATAAAAATAAAGATAGAAAGAAAACGCAGCTATTTAGACCTATTGCAGGAATTCCTTCTTTATTTAATCATTTGGTCCTTCTGAAAACAAAAAAAAATGTTTTTATTTACATTTTGAAACAGCCATTAAACGGAAACTTTTGATTTGGATAACAGTGGACATTGTAGTAGTAAAACAAGCGGTTTTGAAATGTTAATAAAAGGAAAGCGGGGGTTTTCAGAAACGAGAAATGATTAAGGAAGAAGGAAAATAGCGAAAATTCCTAGAACAAAATTGAGAAATGTTTCCTTTTATAGGAGTCCCGCCAGTAGAACATTGAAGTTTGAAATTTTGTGTTTGAGCGATATAATAGAATGAAACATGTTGTTCTTTGACAGTTTGATAAATACCCGTGTACAGGATAAGTTTCAGAACCTAAATTGAAAAATTGGAAACAACGCTCCAGAACGAAGAGTAAAAAAAGACAAGGAAAAACAAGGATCAGAAATAAGGGTAAAAAAAGACAAGGAATGGAACAATGATCAGAAAGAAGAGTGAAAAGACAAGTATCAGAAAGAAGAGTAAAGAAAGACAAGGAAGGGAACAAGGATCAGAAAGAAGAGTAAAGAAAGACAAGGAAGGGAACAAGGAGGAGAAAGAAGAGTAAACAAGTACATGGAAGGGAACGTAGATCAGAAAGAAGAGTAAACAAAGATAAGAAAGGACAAGGATCAGAGAGAAGAGTAAACAAAGAAGAATAAGGATCAGAAAGAAAGGAAACAAAGACAAGGAAGGGGACAACTCTAAGAATAGTTGAAACAAGAACAGGACGACCAAGAACAAAAGATCGGAAATCAAGAAAGTCCTACCGCTGTAATTAGGATCTGGCGGTAATTAAAGTGTAATCAGCAGAGCCATTTAATGACATCCCTGTTTACAGTACTTCTATAATTGCAGTGGTTTCCGAACATTGTACAGCAGGAGTGGATGGCAAATATAATCCCTCATCTTCCAAAGTTCAACAGACAGTTTGCAATTATTTCAACTTTATTTCAACAAAATCATTACATTCCACAGAATACAAATCTCTTATTGAATGTTAACGCGGTGTGTACCTTTATCCATTTGTTGTTGACTAAGGCTGTGTCGTTTTCATAATTGGTTACAGAAGACAATGTCTCTTTTATAAATCGATATTTACAGAAGACCTGCCTCTTATAGAATGTTTATAAAACGCGTGTGTACCTTTGTCCACTGAAAGTTGATTAAAGTTCTAACCTTTTCATAATTGGTTAAAGAAGACAATGTCCCCTTTATACATCGATATTTACAGAAGACGTGCCTTTTTCATTAAATATATAAACAATTAATGCTGTTTGGGAATGAGAACATTGAAGCAATAAAATTTCTTCTACACATAAATCAAACTTCTACTGTCCTTACTGCGATGAAAAAATATTGGGAGGGCTTGGTTCATCAGTGGTGAACCCTTCCAGCGTTTTCGCCAGTTTAATCTACCAGACCGCTTCCTAGAGATATAATACTGTATTGGATCATTCTGCCTATATATGCTATACTGAAGGGTGGAATCTTAGAAATGTTGTTGTTGTTGTCGTGTCCAATGTAGAGCTCCAGATGTCTCCATACATCTCTATCACAGCAGCAGCAATGTCCACTATCTTGGGTGTGTAAAGCTGCTGCTCTGAGTCTTTGTCAATTTTCTGCAAGGCTGCAGCCATTGCTCTTCATTGGAAAATGGGTGCCGTTGCCAAGTTAGTCACCTTGAACCAGAATTTGGTCGAATATTCCAAGGATCCAGGGGGGACCGCAGGGAGGTGTGGTCGGACTTCTCCCCCCAATCTTAGAAATGGTATTCAGGTGAACTATGGACATAAGCTTTAAGTGTAAGATAAACATTCGTACCTTGTTTTTTTCATTACTGATAAATAGATGGCATGTTATTGCTTTGTATTATTGCTGTTTGGTTCAAATATTGATAGGAAATGTGAATTCCATGTTTATAGAAGCCCTTCTTTATTCCTTCCACACTGAGAAGATAAAAGATATTTCTCTCCAATTCAATATTTGAGCCCCCACTCTCCAGACTGTATAGCTTCTAAGATAATCTCTCACCTCATTAATTATAATTTAAAAAAACACGCACATGTTAGGGTTTTATTTAATTAAATTAGCTACTGCAGGTTAATTAACCCGTATCACGTGGTCCAATTACTGAAATAAAGGTTAACGAGGTAACCTGCCTGGAAATTTTATCTTCGTCCATATTTTGTTGCGTTGGAATTTTTATCACGGCATTGTGCAATTGAAACATACATTGTATCGTTGCTATATTTGATATTTGAGATGAACAAATTAAATATTCGTTTTTTAGAATGTTAACAACAAACACAAATTCATTCATGGACAAAACTTAAGGAAGTTTACCTTCTAAAATGTATATCGGGATTCATACAATAATTCTGAAGGATACACTCATGGACAAAACTTAAGGAAGTTGTACCTTTTAGCATGTATATCGGGATTCAGACAATAACTCTGAAAGATACAATCATGAACAAAACTTAAGAAAGTTGTACCTTTTAGCAGGTGTATCGGGATTCAGACAATAACTCCGAAAGATACACTCATGGACATAACTTAAGGAAGTTGTATGTTTTAGCATGTATATCGGGATTCAGACAATAACTCTGAAAGATACACTCATGGACAAAACTTAAGGAAGTTGTACCTTCAAGCATGTATATCGGGATTCAGACAATAAATTTACCTTTATATATATGATACAAAATTTCAAATAAATTTTACTGTTCTATAAATTCCCTACTATCTCCTTATAAAACGAGCGCTCAAGCTCCTCTATGATTTACAATTATTTTCACTCTCAAAGAGATTTCACAAAAGAAAATTTTAAATTTTCTAACGTTTCGAAACTTTTATTTCTCCAAACTTTTGAAACATCTTTTATTAAAGTTTGTGGCTTCTAAAAGTTTTCCATTTTCTGTGATAAGTTTTATTCTTTAGTTTTTTTACTTCATAATTAAAAATTCTCTCAAACGACGTTCATGGTCAAAATATTTTAAATAAGTTTATTTTACTCCTTTACATTATATAACATTTGTTGTTTATAGGTTTATCGATTATATAAAATATATATTTATATCTTTAATATTATTTCTAACTTTCTTTTGTGACAAATACATTTTTAACTTTATTAAAACTTCATTATAGGAATCTTTCAATATGGTTTGTACACAAAGGCGCAGAATGTTGACCTGAATCTATACAAAATTTCTCTCCCATCTATAATAATGTGAACTAATCCAAAATTCGATGTGTGTGACTTCTTCACTTCAGCTAGCCTCTTTATATTTATAGAATCTAGTAGGTTCCTATCCAATAACACTCATGGACAAAACTTAAGGAAGTTGTAACCTTTTAGCCTGATTTCAGACAATAACTTTGAAAGATATTTGATACACAGTGACCTTTATTGAATACACACGAGATAACCAAGTGTGAACAACCTCTGGCTACTTCAAAAAGTCAAACGGCTAGCGATATAAAATTATGAAACCTACTTAAGTTTTGTCCATGAGTGTCACATAACCCTTAAACTGATGGAGACTCTGGCCACTAATCACTACTAACAAATAAGCAATCACCAAACTTAGTTAAATTCAATGATGAAAGAATCTATTTTGATATGTATC